ACAGGGTTTTGTTTCTTTTATTGGTTGAATTAATGAAGTAAACTACTCAATCCACGTCTTGTTTTTGCAAACCTGCGAATGCAACTGCCTTCTCTACGTTTGTATCTTATTGCTGAGTTACAAATGACGTAACTCCCCAGACCCCATACAGTGATTGCTTACTTTATTAATAACGTCATGACCCATCACGCTGCTTATTGGAGGACTTTGTTATGACGTCAGGTGCGAACAGGTGGGGGATTATGTGAAGGGGGTGTTTTTGTCACCTGTTGAAAGTGTCAACTAGTTTCACCTTTGTCCTTCATTGTGCGTTGTCTGTTGTTCATGTTCCAGTTTTGCGTTTTTTTTCTTTGTCAAAAACTTGTGTTCACTGCTTAATAGCTTCGTTACTTCCATCTCTCTAGGTGCAACGTTTTCTGGCAAGATTTTATTGAGGATTTAATCTTATTAACGTATAAGAATAATTGTTCACATTATTTTCCTTTAGTTTTGGTTCCCTGTTGAGGTTAATTATTTCTTTAAACTTTTCCTAAGGGCCATTTTTCTCGTTCAGTTTTTTTTTGTCCTGATACATGGCCATAAGGACAAAATTATATCTACTCAAAGTCTTCATAGACCCTGACACAGTATGCACTTGCCAATTCACGTCGTGGTCAGGATAATCCGGAAGTGATTAGCCATATCTACAGCGATACACTGATGTTGACCCATATTGGTGCCCAGGAAATATCAGGATCCTGAGCAATGAAACTCCCAGATGCTGAGGCGAGGCTGCTATATCTGTGTTATATAATAGTTTTGCCTCATCTGTTTCATGGACATTCCCAATGAGCAGTAAGCATCATAGTTATACAGGACGTGTTAACCAAATATGGATCACTCACTATTTAATCAGTTTTGGTGTCAAGTTCAGGTTAACTCGAGGTTAGAGATCCCAGCCACACCATCGCAAATCTCACTCTATGTATTTTCGCAATATATTCTAAAACTTTGTTGGTTATTTCTTCAGGGCTACTTATGTTGGTTGCCATTGAACCAAAGAGTCGTATTGTTGTGGTTGCTGCTTGTATTGGTTGCTTAGTTTAATACAGTAAAATATTTTTAAAGATTTATTAAATTCAGCCATGTCTTGCATGTTTAATTCCGTGAGACGTTAATAAACAACAATGATGGAGGATAAATCTTTAACACACGAGCACACATAGACGGGATCCATACATAGCTTCACGAAGAGGTACGATGAGGCTCTTGGAGCCGGGAGAGAGTGGACCTAGTAGCGACCAGCAAAGAGGCGGGGCCAGGAGCTGTGGATCGACTCTTGCAACCACATACAGGTGAGTCTCCCTCAGGTATGGGCTAAGCCTCGTCACTAGACATACTCGACGTTAAATATTATAGACTTTTATATAGAATACGTAACTTACCGACGTAATATTTTTAGTTTATCGTTGTGTAGTAGTGTAACGTTTTTTTGTATAAGAAGTCAATGTTGCCAGAACTGCCGCGTTGCAGGGCAGGGCAACAAGGTCGAGAGTCCCGTCCTTCACAGTGGCACTAGCGACACTATGGACGTACTTGAGGCTTTTATGCGCAATGCTCACACCGCCTTAATCCGGATTTTGTTTCATTCCCTTTTTATTAACATCGTTATAATATTTATTTATTCTTTGAGATGAAAGACTAACGTTTCAAGCATTTATTTATGTATCTGCGCTTCAGATAAGATTGAGGGATAAGTATCTGAGGTCAGTCTGGGAATAGTTGGAATTTGGGAATCCTGGAATTCGGTTCCAAGATTCAGGCTTATCACACTGTTTGTCGTTTTATTGAGGTTGGAACTCTGCCGCAGTCTGCTTAAAAAAATCATGCCATACTAAGGTAAATTACATCTTAAGGGAATTTATATATATATATATATAATATATATATATATATATAATATATATATATATATATATATATATATAATATGTCGTGCGAATAGGCAGAACTTGCGATCTTGGCCTAAAAGCAACGCTCATCTTGCCATATAGACAAGTGAAAATTTGTGTATGCAATAATTTTCGCCAAACATCATTCTGTACCTAACGAGAAAATATATTCACTGTGTTTGTTTAGTATTAAATTATTGTAAAACAAATCTAAAATATTATTTAAGTTGGTGATTAGGCTAAAATAAATTGCGTTTGTTCTAATAAGGTTAGGTAAGTATTTCTAAGTTCCATTTGGTTGCAAAATTATAAATTTTTACATCAACAATAACGAAAAAAATATATCATTTAAATGTATAAGAGAAATTTTTGTTAGAAAGGACTTAATTTTAAATGAGTTCTTGCTAATTGACCAGTTTTACATATCGGCACACATATATATAATATAAAATATATAATATAATATAATATATAATATAATATATATAAATATATATATATATATATATATTGCAATTGTACACTTTCTCATTATCTGAATGGTGTTGGTTGTTGGTACATGTATAGCCTACTTGATATTTTTTCTCAGTATGACTGCACTTTTTTCTAAACCTTGTTGTTTGTGAGGGACCTAAAAGTGGTAATGAAAAAGGACATCACTTTCAAGATCACAAGTGTCATTAACACAACCGCGAGCAATATAATAGGATGGGTAATGAGGAGCTTCAGAACAAGAGATGTCTAGCCAATGATGGTCCTCTGTAATTTACTTGTTCTCTCTAGGTTGGAATATTGTTGTACGCCAAGAACCCCTTTTAAGGCAGGTGAAATTGCAGATCTAGAGAATGTAGGGGGAACCTTCACTGCACGTGTAAATTCAGTCGAGCACCTAAATTACTGGGAATGTTTGAAGTTCCTCGAATTGTACTCCAAGGATCGCAGGCGAGAAAGATGCATTATAATTTGCACTTGGAAAATTCTAGAGGGTTTGATCCCAAATCCTTACACAAAAATCACTTCTTACGAAAGCGAGATTTACCGATGGCGCAAAATACCCCAATGAAAAGCAAGGGATCAACACTTTTCAACATCTTACCTTCATGCATACAGGGGATTACCAACACCTCCCAGGCTGTCTTCAAGAGAGAACTCGATAAGTTCAACTCAATTCCTGATCAGCCGGGCTGTGGTTTGTAGGTTGGACTTCGAGAAGCTAGCAGTGACAACCTGGCTGATCAGACCTTATTTCACTAGGAGGCCTGGTCTGGGAGTGAGCTGCGGGGACGTTGATTCCCGAAAGCATCCTACAGGTATCATTCCTGTTTGTACATGGAAATGCTTACAGGTGAGTGTATGTTGTGGTAGAATGGTAGGTTTGTGTACTAGACTGTACGGGCGGCTGTGGTAGATGGAAGAGATGGCTGTGGTAGATAGTACAGACGGGTATGGGAGATGGTACATTGAGATAAACACGCATAATAAGCGATATTTTTAACCTAACAAAAAAATCGTTTCTTGAAATAAAACTTAATGGCGATTAAAATGAATTAATCAGTTACAGAATTTTCTCTATCAAATTTTGATTGATTTTTCATAAACCTCCGCGCCTCCGCTGCTAAGATTTTCACAATAAGTGATTCATAAAGCAGGAATTGTTTTGAGAGTGGTACCAAGCTGAGTGTTCTGGTGTTGACGACAGATGTGGGTCACCCGGTGCTTAGCATTTACGGTTTAACCGACCAACCCCGATATCTAAAAAACATTATTATATTTAATGAGTTAATCAAAATTAATTATTGATGCTGATATACTTTTGTTGACATGGTGTTGGCCTCGTGTTTCTCTAGATTGCTCTGAAGCTAAAACATTTGATGAGTGCTATAGTAGCGAGATACTGAAGTGCTGCTGACCATCGCTGGTAAACATAGATAAGACTCATTCCTGTTTCAAAGGTTTTCCCAGTGTATTTTCTGCTTTTGTTTTTTTGGTGTCTGTTTAATTTATTGATGATGCTGTTGGACTCTTATATGACTGAATATATGTAATAATTCTTTATCAGTGTCGTTGTATTTTTGTCAAAATTGGTTACATCACACTGTATGGTTATCCTGATATATATAACATTTACAAGGCTACGTAAACTGTTTACCGGATACACCCATCACACAGGATGGTTTTCCTGTCATATTCTACCACAGGATTATTTGTATACACGAGGTCAGCGTCAGCCTGAGTTACGAGGCTACAGTTTGGCAATGACAGTGTTGAGTACGGTGTTCTACTGTGATCTTGGACTCTATTCGGAGTCTGGTGTTTCTTGACTTTTATATGGGGTGGAAATTCTGCCATCTCATCGTAACTTTTTTTTTTACATGATGGACGGGAAAGCCAGTGGATCCATATGAATAAAATTCGCGTCAGGATTTTTTTTTTTTTACAAAATACTCACCACCATTATGATTTTTCTTATCACTCTTAGTTTCATTTATGATAAGGGTCAAGTTTCACCACCTACTCATTCCATGACAATAACCCATCACGTTACTCACTTCTTCACTAAGCTGGGTCATCTTAGTGTTCTTTCTCACCCAACTTCATGGTTCTTGCCAGATTATAGAACTCAGCAGTTCCCTTCAGATTAAAAGGCTGGGATTTTTTTTGCCATTTTTAATTTTTTTTTCAAAGGAAGAATGTGGAGTGCATCATTGCCAGGATCCGTTTTATCGACTCCAACAACTGCAGTGATGTAGCAATTGTCGCGCCACATTCTGAAAATTGGACTAGTTTTCTGATGGCAGTACTACGTTCATATGCTCCACAATAAATGTCCCATAATCTAAAGTTCTTCCCACTTGCTATGAATTTTGTCAATATTGGCTTGTTATAACTCACGAAATCGTAATGACACGATTGCAAACAAACCATAGCTGGTCCAGTGGCTAACGCGACGATCTGGAGTTTTGAGACTCTGATCGCGGGTTCTATCCCTGCCCGTGGTATGGTTTGGCTTGTTATATTTAGGGCTTTGGGCATATTGTTATTGTTAATGCTTGTTCACGTTTTCTTCAGGGTAGTGAACAAGCGAGTGTGTACTTGAGCAGCGAGGAGGAGGCAAACATGTGGGCCACTAAACTACGGGTTACAGCAGTCAGAAGATCCTTGCAGCTGGAGGGCCTCAATCTGGAGTGTGGCGCTGCAGGTGGGTGTGCATGATCTGTGGACTATTTGCGACTCGTCTGGGGAATTATGGCTCACCTAGGAGATTTGTGGCTTAACTGGGGGACTGTGACTTACCTGGGAACATTGTGACTTACCTGGGAACATTGTGACTAACCTGGGGGAGCTGTGGCTTATCTGACGGGTAAGCATGGAGTGATGATCTTGTGAATCACCTGAGGGTAGGGAGGTATGGGCCGCCTGGGAGTGTGGTTCAGTATGGAGGAGTGTGAAGGGCGTTTCTACCATAGTATATAGCGGATGTGTAGGGAAAGGGGCAAGGGTAGGTGGTATGCATGACAAGTGCACATGCACAGGTGTATCTCTCCAGCACATACCTGCAACACACACATCTTGTTAGTCACGTGTGAGTCACCCACCTCCACTACTCACACTATCTTAAATGCCTAGTGTATCTCCTTGAGTTAAATGACTCATGGGTTAATTTAAAAATAATACTGTTATTGGGCCCTAAACCCGTGTGACACATTCAGATGGTACGCTGGGACTCTATTCTTTGACCACTAATAACGTGACACGTTACTCTCTTAGCCAGGCGATAAAAAGGGAAGAATTCCTCATGGGTTACACACATCAAGTAAAACATTTTTTTTCCTATTTTGAATTTTTCACCACTTTTTTTTTACCCTTTGTTAGATTAACCCACAATTAAGATTTGTTATACTTTATCAAAATCAAGAGAAACCGCTGCACTAGTAAGGGTGATACAGCGACAAGGGAATGAGAGGTAATCAGGCTTGATCCAAGGAAAGGGAGGATAATTCCATTTCTTTGGATCAAGAGCTCGACAGCTTCAGTGAATCTCCATGGAAGGTGGACTTTCTTACATATTCTGGACATTGTTTATGCAAGATTTCCGTTGTAACCTTAGTTTTTAATAACTGCTAATATAATTAAGTTTTATTCCCTTTATTTTAACGTTTTAGTGTATAAGTGCTCCGTAGTTTTTAAAGTGCCGAGAAATTGAAAAAAAAATGCGAAACACGCATTGTACAAACCTGTTAGTCTTCGGGACATAAAAGGATATAATGCAGGATATATTCCATGACTTTTTATGGCAAAACAAGTGGTCGCGTGATTATGAAGTGCTTTTGATCCAACTAATAAGAGCAACCCTCTTCTTGGATAAAAGTTGTGACCAGGCGGGAAGGTGCAACCAGGAAAAAAAGGTGTGACCATGGTTTTTTTTTTTATTTTTATTGAAAACGCTTTTAATAGTTATACATGTGAAAATGTAAGAAAAGGGAAACGTATCCATTTTATATAACAAAAAAAAAACTCCCCCTTTCCCTTTCCTTTAGCACAAAACCCTTATAATAGAACAAAAACTAAAGCCCGCCCCGCTTTCAAAATACAGGGGGGTTTTATTACATAAAAAATTGAAAACCTTTAAAACACAATTTTGCAATAAAAACCCAAAAGAATGTCCCCAGGTTTTGGGACTTTTACAAAAAACTGTATGTACGAAAAAATTCTCAATTACCCAAAAAAAATTCTTTCCCAAAATTATTATTGTTGTATTTTTAAATTTTCATTTTCAAATACAAAATTACGTAACACCTCAAAAATTTACGAAACAAAAAAAAAAAGGTTAGAAAATAAAAAATTTTTTTCCCCCACACCCACCACAGAAAAACAAAAACCAGTATAATATAACAAATGATTCCCCCAAAACCTCCCTTTCCATACATTTCATTCATCCCCCCTTCACGTCCATACATTCTTTCCCATCACCAAAAGGGCGAATTACCAAACCGTTTTATTTAGTAATTTTTTTTCAAATAAAAATTTCCATTTTTAAAGTAACAAATTTTTCTACTTATAATGAATATCCCATTAGTCATTTTAATTAAACATTAACTTAAACTGGGACTATATTCTTATTTACAGACCGCAGCAGTTCTTGCCTCACCACCCCTAAAAAACTATTAACACTTTGTACTTTAAAACACATCCTTATATACCCATCACTCGTCAATAATATTCATTAAACTTCCCAAATTTCCCAAAGGGTTACAACCCATACTGGTACATGAAAATTTTCTTTAATTTCTGCTTTTACACTTGATGTATGATAAAAAAAAACACCATTAATTATCTCATTATTTGCAGTAAATTTTGGGACAAAAGGCATTTTTTATTTACGCCCTTGCCGTTGCTTAAAAACAAACCCCCAATTTCCCGTTAATACTTTTCAACTATTTCAAATTTTTTCTTTTCCCAAAATTTCTTGTATACCATTCTGAGGTTAAAAATATAATTTTTTAAAATTTTCCCCAAAAATATTCTCATTTTCCCTATCCCTTTAAAAAACTTAAAATTTTCCCTTTCAAACCACCCACAAACTTACTTAAAAAACACTCCACAACTTTCGTTTTTTTTAACCATATCAAAGGAACTCCTCATAAAATTCCCAAATTTTGAGACGAGCCCGATGCACCCCCGAAAAAACAAACAAAATCCCCCCCCCCTTTTTTTTTTTTTTTTTTTTTTTTTTTTTTTTTTTTTTTTTTTTTTTTTTTTTTTTTTTTTTTTTTTTTTCTTTCCTTACTCCGCCAACTAAAAATTGAATTAAAACTTGATAACCCTTAGGGAAAAAACCCCTTTCCCATTACTTTCCTATTCCCCCTTTTACGACTAAATGTTTTTACAAATTTTTGCAGGCCCAAAACCCCTTTTTTTCGCAACCCTTTCCCAAACCCCATTACCCCTCTTTGGGCCCCTTTATACGAAAACAAAATCGTTATGTTTTACACCAAAGCAGTGCACAGGGCTTTCCAAAACCTTTCCCCTCTTTAAAAACAATGCCCTTAATACCCATATCCCTCCCCCCCACCCTCTTTAAAATCCCACCCACCACTCCCGTATACCTCCCAAAAATTTTCAAAAAAATTTTTCATGAAAAGCTGGGCTCCCCATCCCCACAACCCTACCCTTAAAGTTTCCCCCACCACAAACCCCTTTTTCCCAAAGCACCACCAGCGGCAATTTCCTTTAAGGAAAAAAACTTTTCCTCTCTCCTCTTGGTTGATGGCCCAAAAAGCCCAAACCCTTTCCCAAATGTCTCCCCATGCATTCATTTGGGTTTTATGCCCTCAAAATTTGCAATCACCCTCACCCCTCAGCCCCCGGGTCCCGAAATCCCCACCCATTTCCCAGACGGATCTCTAAAATAAATAAAACTCGCAGAAATTTCCCCACACCTCTCATCTTGATCCTTTCCCACCACCTTTGTGCCCCCTCATATAATGTTGCACCCCCCTTCCCCCCACGGGCCTTTCCCCCCCTGGAGAAAACCCCCCCCTTCAAAAAATATACAATTAAACCCTTTTTCTTATAAACATTTTAAAACCCCAAACCACCTTTTTCGAACCCCGGGAGCATAACAAAAACTTCTACCCAACCCAACACACCCAGAACCCCATATATTCGAAAAAAAACCCCTTTTTTTGCATTTTTTGTTATGTCGGGGCCTGCCAACGGATTTTACTGCTGCCAAAATGCCAGACCCTACTTTATTTTCATCACATTCCCAATATTTCACGTTGATGTATCGTCAAATTTCAAGGGTCCCCAAAAAAATTTAACCCCCCACCAACCTTTTCCACTGCCCCCCCAGAAAATTAAAACATTCGTGCCCCCGGCGTTGCCCTTTTAAATTTTTTTCCCCCACACCTTTAGTTTATCCCCAACACCAACGACCAGCTGTTTCCCATTTGCGCCCTCCCCCACCCCCTTCCCTAAGGCCAACCCAATTTTTTGATTTTTCCACATTTCCCTTTTTAAAACCGGTTTAAAACTTTTAAAAAAAACCCCAAATTTCATCCTCCACCTCCCTGTAAACTTTCCCTCCCCGCTCATTTTGGGTTTTTTTTATCATCCCAAAACCTATTTTTCCCCCTTTTCCCCCATTCTCCAACCAAAGTTCCACCCCCCAAAAAAACGCCCCACTGCCCTATAAAAAGGGGGCCTTTATACAAGGGAAACCAGTTTTAGGGCAGAGGAAAAACCCTGCCCTTTTGGGCCCCAACCATTGAAAACCCCCTCCCCTATTTCCCATTTTACCCGAAAACGTTTTAAACCCACCCTTTTTATTCAAAGTCTTTAATCCAAGTACCCCTCTCTTCCCCCAAAACCCCGCCTCCGTTTAAAATATGCCCAAAAGTTTCCTTTCGTTTACGGGAATATACGCAGCCTGCCAATCCCAAAGCTAAGACACCTCCCCCCCTTTATTTTCCCCTCCCCCCTACTTTTCCCCAAAATTTTTTTATTTTCCCGGGCCCTTTTTACACCCTCCTTCCCGGGCCATGGTTATTAAGACCCCCCATCAGGACTCGATTTCCCAACGAAAAATTATTAGCAATATAGAATTTTGTTTTAAAGAACTGGGAAGTCTGAAAAATGAGGGGAGAAACTCGTGTTTTATGTATTGTGGTTCACCTTTCCCATAAAATGCTTCCTCTTTCCCCTGTTGGGATTCCATTCAATGACTTCAAAGGCCCCGGTTTGCGTTTAATGTTTTTTTTTTAGTTCTTTTTTAAAGGGGTTTTTTGTTTTTTAAAGAGTAATTTAACGTATTTTTAATTTTTTTTTGTTTTGCCCCTTCATTCTTTTTAATTTGGATAAAGGGTTCCAAAAAAAACCTAATTTTGAAAACAAATTTTTTCACAGCCCGGGTGTGTGAAACCCCTTGCCGCTGCCCCTTCGTTTTTAACCAATTAGCTATTTTCCTGAATCAAAGTAGCGGGTTTTTGGCTATCTTTCTTCAATCTGTCGCTGTGGGAAACTAGACTTCACGGGCTGTGTGGGTTTTACAAAAAGAAACTCACAAATGTCTTGTGGGGAAAGATTTCCCCCTCCCCCCGGTTTAGGGGTTTTCAGCTCAACATGGTGTCAAACCTCTTGTTATAAACTGCCCTACTAGTAAAATAGCATATAGACTTACTTCCAACATATTGATATCCCGACCCTTTCCATCTGCCTTTCTCTTTTAAAGTCTTTCTCATGCAGACAGTGCCTTTTTAACTGAACCTGTCTTGTTAAACCTCTCACACTACCCATCAATGGAGGTTCCTTGACGCTGGTGAGGGGCTCTTGATCCAAGGAATTAGACCTGTCCTTCATTTTCCCCCTTGGATCGAACATGAATGCCTCCCATTTCCTCAGGCACAGTATGACCCCTACGGGTTTAGCGCTCTTCTATGACTGTAATAATCCTGTCACACAAACAGCCCTCCACATTTCTACCCTTGAATGCAAGATTACCATTCAGTGCTGAATGACCGTACGGGTTTAGTACGTTTTCTAAATGTAATTAATAATTCTTAATTAGCTGTGCATTTACTCACTATTCTTGTTCTGTTTAATTCTTACTCTGCTGTACACTCTTTTCTTACTCTACCCTTTTTTTCAGTTTTGCTTTATTAAATTTTTTTTTCAATCTTTCGACCCTAATATGCGTTTTTATCGCTCTTACAATCACTACCCTTCGCGTGTTTCTTGATATGTACATTATTTGTTTACCTTGCAGATTACCCATTCCCTGGGACTGAAGGGGACGCATGTGGGGACCTTTCTTCCTGCTCCTGCACCCCCTTGCATGAGGATGAGGTGGAGGAGGATGATGATGAGGAAGAGCTTGCTAGGAAAGCTCTAAACACCGTATTCGGCTTCCTCCACCCATGTTATTGTAATTCTCATATCTTTAAATGAATTTTATCTTTCTCGTGTGTACTTTCATTGTCACGTTCTTTGCAAGTTACTATGTGATCCTTCCCTCACTTGCTTCACGTCAACTCAGTGTCATGTCAAGTCTTGCTGTGCTTACACTATCGCAAGACAATCATGATTCTCTTACGAGCTCTTCACATTAATGAGCAAAGAATAGCTTCTTCTCTTATGTTCTACTCTATTAGCAAAATTACGTTCTTACATTTTATGAAAATAGGTAAAAAAATACATATATCCTAGTCCTGTTTTGATGGGAATCTAAGCTAACGCAGTATTCAGTGCTAAACCCATTAGGGTCAATCAGCGCTGCTGCTAAACTTGGGTACCTATCATTTGTCTGAGTTCAGAAGATTGTCTTCCTTATCTTATACTGTTGACTGTTACAGGCGAGCAGGACTACCCCGGCAGCGGAGACTCCTGTGAAGCAGAGAGTCAGGGGGAGGAGGACGAAGAGGGCGAAGGAGGGCATTGTGGGCCGCTGCTGCTGGAGACTTCTGCGGATAGTGTCGTCAATCATGGTGTGCGCCTCCGTCATCCCCGTCGCCTCTGCCAAGAGAGTACCAGAGACGACGCCTCCAGGAGGGAGCTCCTCCAACAAATGTTGACCACAAAGTCACTCCTGGAGAAGAAGCAGAAAAATCGGCGATCAGGGGTAAGTACATGGTAGTGGTCATCAGTGTACCGTTTTCAGAGTAATTTTAAATATTTTAAATAAATTTATTAAATTATATGTAGTAACGAAAAAGATTCTGGTTTTGTAAAAGTCCAACGATTTGTGTATTGTTAAAAACACTGAGAAGCGCTAGTAATTTTTTGCAGATAACCTTGAAATTTGTTTTTGTTTGCAAATATTCCTGAAAGGCAATGAACTGCAAGATACATTGAAAAAGTTTGGCAGTGACTGGCGGTTTATTTTGTAATAGACGAAGGTATTAATTATTATTTAATGCAAATGTTCATATAATGAATTCACCGATAAGTGTATAAAGAAAAAATATTATATCAAGTAGAGTAGAGACACTTTGTTAATGTTAACTTATTCTTGTTATATCCGTGATGTCACGGTCACTCAAGGCAAGGTGAGACTATTGGTGAATCTTAAACTGGCTGCCTCTGTTCGCCCTCAGTAAATAGGTACAGTACATTTGTTATGTTATCCTGGGTCAGTAACTCTAGTGGAATGTTTTCTTACAGGCTGGAGCGTGGATGGTGACAGCTGGGGAGGTAGCTAACGAGTACGACAGAGCTCAACATGAAGCACAACAGTCAGCCCTGAGGAAGGTGGTCATTCTACGTCAACGCAAAAACTCCACGGCCATAAAGGTGTTACATCATACAGAATTCCCTTTTTGTAGTTAAAGGAGCATAGTCATACTTGTGGTGTCCTGTTTTCAATGTTTACTTTGTCTTATGATTGTTTAAGATTTCCAGTGGTTATAACACAAGCTACCTCTTCTTGGATCCCAGTTCAATACCTATCGCTGATACTAGGCGGCCTTTCGGCACCGCTTTTTTTTTCTTTTATTGTTTTGGTCATTTGTTCTTCCTGTTGGTTTATATTTTTCTCATTTTCATCAACGAGAGTAGTTAGTGTTTAGTTTTCGTAAGTAATATTTCTAGTTTCTCTGCCTCAGTACGTCATACTACCGTGGTCTATTCCAATTTTTGTGTAACGTATGTTGTGAATTTAGATCATCTTACCATCCAAAACTGCAATAATCTTTGTTAGTAGCTTCAAATGTGCGAGTTTCTCATTGTTTCATTTGAGTTTTTTTTTTTCTGTTAGTGCTATCTGTAATTACTTCCGGTTTCCTTAATTTGATGTTTAAAAGATGGTGTAACACAATCCGTATCCTTCACAATGAAGCACTGAATACTCTTTATAGGTCTAGAAGACTATAATATTCTCTTTGAGCACTAAACCCTTATAGGTCACACAGCGCTTGTTTAATAATATTCAATCAGATTTGATCCGATATAGGTACATTTTGTCAAGACAGTCAATATACACTGTGAGCACTCTCCGCTGTTTTGTATGCCTAGTTGCCCACAGTTATTCAAAATTCGCAGAATTCCCCACGTGGAGGTGGCTGCTTTTTTTCTATGGGTCTAGAACTTTCGGTGAAAATGTATTCTATATTGTGATATGTTCTCACTTTCTCATTAACATAAGGTTGCACTTATTATACATTACGGTTACCATTTATTTGCCGTACGTGTTCAGCTCGTCTAGATCTTGTTTTCCGTTTCTCATATTTTTTTTTTTTTTGAATGAATAGGTGGTCATCAACTTAATAAAGGTTTTTACTAGTGGTTTACTCAGTACAGCACCTACAACCTCTTACTCATAACCCAAGAATTTTGTTAGGTCTCGTAGCCTTAGACGTGTCCAATCTGCGTAGCAACAACTTGACGTCATCATCTGTTGTACTGGTGTTATCTGGTCACTGTTGATAGGTTCTTTTTTTTCTTTTGTCTAGCATTGTTTCCCTTTCCTTAATTACCCGTTAAGCCTTAATCTAAACCTGCCTGTTACTCCTTCCTTCGATTTACCAACAGCCTGATTGTTCATAACTGGGCCACGCTTGAGGAACGGAGGAGCAAGCTACCAACTTCTTGCGCTGAATCACCCACACTGAATAATAATCTCCCTTCTAAAGTGCTTGCACTTAGTTGTTCATCATCTATTGTTTAATGAGGCTGTGTAGTAGTAGTTTCTGTGCTGCTTTCTCTACATTATAAGTTATAAAATATTTAACTGTCGTCAGAAGGCCTGAAAGTGTATTGGTTGTGCTACAGATGGCGACTGGTAAGGCACATGTGCAACACATAAGTATCTTTATTGATATTAGGTATCTGTATTTATAATATGTTACAGATGGCGACGTTGGAGAGGCAGCAGTCTTCGAAGAAGAAGAGGGAAGCGGACGTGACAGTGCAGCTGGAGGCGCTGAGGACGAGGCTTTCATCCCTGGACACCCAGCTGAAGGAGAGCGAGCAGGACACTGAAAGGATGCTGCAGGACCTCGAGCACAGGCGCAACCAGGAGCTGCACCTCATCCAGGATCTAGGTGAGATTCGCTTCACTGGAGCAAGGACCTAGGTGACACCATCTTAACGAAGGCAAGAATCTAGGTGGGATCCCACCAAAGTAAGGATCTAAATAGGATCCCCCGAAGGCAAGGATCTAAATAGGATACAATTTTGAGCAAGGAGCTAGATAGGATACCCTTTTAAGTAAGGAGCTAGATGGAATCTCCTTTGAGCAATGATCTAGATGAAATTCCCCTTGAACAAGGATTTATATGGGATCCACCTTGAGGGAGGACGAGACCTCACAGGGATTACTCTACCATTTCTTAATAGTGTCTTGTCTATCAAGACTAGCAGGTCGAGGATCAAACCTCCACTACTCCTTCCATTGAATGACCCACATGGGTTTAACGCTTTGTATATTACTATTACTCCTACCACCTACTGCAACTATTACTAATAATTGAAATAATAATAGCAATAATCAACCATTTCCGAGGTCATTTTTTTCCTCATCTGTAAAAAGTGAACTTTCAGAAAACTAACATTATTCGATTCTTCGGTATATTTGCTTCCGCCTATGTTTTTATTTCATCTGTGGCATAGAATAATCTATAATGAGATGTTTGGATCGCTGCGTTATCTGAGAGAGAGGGGGAGTGAGAGGGGAAGGGAGAGAGAGCGTTAATTATATCACATCAAGTAAGCCCCCGGAAACTAGTATCACTCAAAACATTTGCGTTTCATTAATTCAGTGAAATTGGCAAACTAGAGTTGACACACTTTTAACCCAATCCAAACTTTTTTTTCCAAGATACATCAGCATTCTCAAGTTAATGCCCGGAAATATTGGAGGAAGAAAAATAATTGCAACAGCCTCCACTATATCCTCTTTTGTAGGTATGCAGGTAAAATTTTTGCAGTAATGTAGATGACAGTGAATAATATTGCATACCGTTGCTAAGTCGGCGTTGTAATGGATTATTGCTTCCTTGATTGATCAAGTCTTGTTTTCAACTTTCATTATTGTGTTACAAGAAAGTGAGTTGTTGTTTATTGAGTTTTAACTTAAATATGTGTTGTTTTTCAAGAGATATGTCATAACTTCTCTCCTTCAGACCAAATTTCTTTGCAGGCCCTAACAAGAGAAACATTGAACATTGTAATGAGTCTAATGACAGTATACTTAATGTAATATTCATGAAAAATACTAAACCCGCCTGGTTATATACATCGAAAGGGTTGGAAAGAGGGGGTAAAGGAGGTTTTGTGGGTGAGGGGCTTGGACTTCCAGCAAGCGTGCGTGAGCGTGTTAGATAGGAGTGAATGGAGACGAATGATACTTGGGACCTGACGATCTGTTGGAGTGTGAGCAGGGTAATATTTAGTGAAGGGATTCAGGGAAACCGGTTATTTTCATATAGTCGGACTTGAGTCCTGGAAATGGGAAGTACAATGCCTGCACTTTAAAGGAGGGGTTTGGGATATTGGCAGTTTGGAGGGATATGTTGTGTATCTTTATACATATATGCTTCTAAACTGTTGTATTCTGAGCACCTCTGCAAAAGCAGTGATAATGTGTGAGTGTGGTGAAAGTGTTGAATGATGATGAAAGTATTTTCTTTTTGGGGATTTTCTTTCTTTTTTTTGGGTCACCCTGCTCGGTGGGAGACGGCCGACTTGTTGAAATATATATATTATATTATATATATATATATTATATATATATATATATATATAATTATATATATATATATATATTAGGTAGTAGGTTGGTAGACAGCAGCCGCCCAGGGAGGTACTACCGTCCTGCCAAGTGAGTGTAAAACGAAAGCCTGTAATTGTTTTACATGATGGTAGGATTGCTGGTGTCCATTTTTCTGTCTCATAAACATGCAAGGTTTCAGGTACGTCTTGCTACTTCTACTTACACTTAGGTCACACTACACATACATGTACAAGCATATATATACACACCCCGCTGGGTTTTCTTCTATTTTTTTACTAGTTCTTGTTCTTGTTTATTTCCTCTTATCCCCAAATGGGTAAAGTGGAACAGAATTTTCCCTCCGTAAGCCATGCGTGTTGTAAGAGGCGACAAAAAATGCCAGAAGCAAGGGGCTAGTAACCCCCTTCTTCTGTATATATTACTAAATGTAAAAGGAGAAAACTTTCGTTTTTCCTTTTGGGCCACCCTGGCTCGGTGGGATACGGCCAGTGTGCTGAAAGAAAGATATATATATATATTATAATATATATATATATATATATATTATATATATATATTATATATATATATATTTATTATGGTAGTAGGTTGGTAGACAGCAACCACCCAGGGAGTACTACCGTCCTGCCAAGTGAGTGTAAAACGAAGCCTGTGATTGTTTTACATGATGGTAGGATTGCTGATGTCTTTTGTCTGTCTCATAATATGCAAGATTACAGGCATGTCTTGCTACTTCTACTTACACTTAGGTCACACTACACATACATGTACACATTTATTTTATAACACTCATCTGAGTTTTCTTTGATTTTATCTTAATAGTTCTTGGTCTTATTAATTTTCCTTTTATATTCCATGGGAAGTGGAATAAGAATCTTTCCTCCGTAAGCCATGCGTGTTGTAAAAGTCAACTAAAATGCCGGGAACAATGGGCTAGTAACCCCTTTTCCTGTAAAGATTACTAAAAGAATAAGAAGAAGAAAATTGTCAAAGTGGGAAGTCTGAATGTGCGTGGATGTTGTGCAGATGATAAGAAAGAGATGATTGTGGATGTTATGAATGAGAAGAAGCTGGATGTCCTGGCTTTAAGTGAAACAAAGCTGAAGGGGGTGGGAGAGTTTCAGTGGAGAGGAATAAATGGGATTAGGTCAGGGGTTTCAAATAGAGTTAGAGCTAAAGAAGGAGTAGCAATAATGTTGAAGGATAAGCTATGGCAGGAAAAGAGGGACTATAATGTATTAATTCAAGGATTATGTGGAGTAAAATAAAGATTGGATGTGAAAAGTGGGTTATAATAAGCGTGTATGCACCTGGAGAAGAGAAGTGTAGAGGAGAGAGAGAGATTTTGGGAAAATGTTGAGTGAATGCGTGGGGAGTTTTGAATCAAGTGTGAGAGTAATGGTGGTTGGGGATTTTAATGCTAAAGTGGGTAAAAATGTTATGGGGGGTAGTAGGTAAATTTGGGGTGCCAGGGGTAAATGTAAATGGGGAGCCTTTAATTGAGCTATGTGTAGAAAGAAATTTGGTAATAAGTAATACATATTTTATGAAAAAGAGGATAAATAAATATACAAGGTATGATGTAGCACGTAATGAAAGTAGTTTATTAGATTATGTATTGGTGGATAAAAGGTTGATGGGTAGGCTCCAGGATGTACATGTTTATAGAGGGGCAACTGATATATCGGATCATTATTTAGTTGTAGCTACAGTTAGAGTAAGAGGTGATGGGAAAAGAGGAAGGTGGCAACAACAAGTAAGAGGGAGGTGAAAGTGTATAAACTAAGGGAGGAGGAAGTTCGGGTGAGATATAAGCGACTATTGGCAGAAAGGTGGGCTAGTGCAAAGATGAGTAGTGGGGGGGTTGAAGAGGGTTGGAATAGTTTTAAAAATGCAGTATTAGAATGTGGGGCAGAAGTTTGTGGTTATAGGAGGGTGGGGGCAGGAGAAAGAGGAGTGATTGGTGTGAATGATGAAGTAAAGGGTGTGATAAAAGAGAAAAAGGTAGCTTATGAGAGGTTTTTACAAAGCAGAAGTGTTATAAGAAGAGCAGAGTATATGGAGAGTAAAAGAAAGGTAAAGAGAGTGGTGAGAGAGTGCAAAAGGAGAGCAGATGATAGAGTGGGAGAGGCACTGTCAAGAAAATTTTAATGAAAATAAGAAAAAATTTTGGAGTGAGTTAAACAAGTTAAAGAAAGCCTAGGGAAAATATGGATTTGTCAGTTAAAAACAGAGTAGGGGAGTTAGTAGATGGGGAGATGGAGGTATTGGGTAGATGGCGAGAATATTTTGAGGAACTTTTAAATGTTAAGGAAGAAACAGAGGCAGTAATTTCATGCACTGGTCAGGGAGGTATACCATCTTTTAGGAGTGAAGAAGAGCAGAATGTAAGTGTGGGGGAGGTACGTGAGGCATTACGTAAAATGAAAGGGGGTAAAGCAGCTGGAACTGATGGGATCATGACAGAAATGTTAAAAGCAGGGGGGGATATAGTGTTGGAGTGGTTGGTACTTTTGTTTAATAAATGTATGAAAGAGGGGAAGGTACCTAGGGATTGGCAGAGAGCATGTATAGTCCCTTTATATAAAGGGAAAGGGGACAAAAGAGACTGTAAAAAATTATAGAGGAATAAGCTTACTGAGTATACCAGGAAAGTGTACGGTAGGGTTATAATTGAAAGAATTAGAGGTAAGACAGAATGTAGAATTGCGGATGAGCAAGGAGGTTTTAGAGTGGGTAGGGATGTGTAGATCAGGTGTTACATTGAAGCATATATGTGAACAGTATTTAGATAAAGATAGGGAAGTTTTTATTGCATTTATGGATTTAGAAAAGGCAATGATAGAGTGGTATAGAGGAGCAATGTGGCAGATGTTGCAAGTATATGGAATAGGTGGTAAGTTATTAAATGCTGTAAAGAGTTTTTATGAGGATAGTGAGGCTCAGGTTAGGGTGTGTAGAAGAGAGGGAGACTACTTCCCGGTAAAAGTAGTCTTAGACAGGGATGTGTAATGTCACCATGGTTGTTAATATATTTATAGATGGGGTTGTAAAAGGAAGTAAATGCTAGGGTGTTTGGGAGAGGGGTGGGATTAAATTATGGGGAATCAAATTCAAAATGGGAATTGACACAGTTACTTTTTGCTGATGATACTGTGCTTATGGGAGATTCTAAAGAAAAATTGCAAAGGTTAGTGGATGAGTTTGGGAAGTGTGTAAAGGTAGAAAGTTGAAAGTGAACATAGAAAAGAGTAAGGTGATGAGGGTGTCAAATGATTTAGATAAAGAAAAATTGGATATCAAATTGGGGAGGAGGAGTATGGAAGAAGTGAATGTTTTCAGATACTTGGGAGTTGACGTGTCGGCGGATGGATTTATGAAGGATGAGGTTAATCATAGAAATGATGAGGGAAAAAAGGTGAGTGGTGCGTTGAGGTATATGTGGAGTCAAAAAACGTTATCTATGGAGGCAAAGAAGGGAATGTATGAAAGTATAGTAGTACCAACACTCTTATATGGGTGTGAAGCTTGGGTGGTAAATGCAGCAGCGAGGAGACGGTTGGAGGCAGCGGAGATGTCCTGTTTAAGGGCAATGTGTGGTGTAAATATTATGCAGAAAATTCGGAGTGTGGAAATTAGGAGAAGGTGTGGAGTTAATAAAAGTATTAGTCAGAGGGCAGAAGAGGGGTTGTTGAGGTGGTTTGGTCATTTAGAGAGAATGGATCACAGTAGAATGACATGGAAAGCATATAAATCTATAGGGGAAGGAAGGCGGGTAGGGGTCGTCCTCGAAAGGGTTGGAGAGAGGGGTAAAGGAGGTTTTGTGGGTAAGGGGCTTGGACTTCCAGCAAGCGTGCGTGAGCGTGTTAGATAGGAGTGAATGGAGACGAATGGTACTTGGGACCTGACGATCTGTTGGAGTGTGAGCAGGGTAATATTTAGTGAAGGGATTCAGGGAAACCGGTTATTTTCATATAGTCGGACTTGAGTCCTGGAAATGGGAAGTACAATGCCTGCACTTTAAAGGAGGGGTTTGGGGATATTGGCAGTTTGGAGGGATATGTTGTGTATCTTTATATGTTTATGCTTCTAGACTGTTGTATTCTGAGCACCTATGCAAAAACAGTGATAATGTGCGAGTGTGGTGAAAGTGTTGAATGATGATGAAAGTATTTTCTTTTTGGGGATTTTCTTTCTTTTTTGGGTCACCCTGCCTCGGTGGGAGACGGCCGACTTGTTGAAAAAAAAAAAAAAAAAAAAAATATATATTTATATATATATATATATTATACAGAGAGAGAGAGAGTTTATTTTAATCCATATTTTAGAGATTTCTTTGTTGCTCATATAGCGAACAGTTTACATGCAGCCTTAATGACCGTGTATCCGATAGCTTTTAAATACAACCAGCCTAAACCGGTATGGGTTATACAATGCCTGGGAAATTGAAGTAAATCTGGCTTTATCCGAAGAAGTGAAAGGTAATTCCAATTCCTTGGATCAGGGGCCTTTCAACAGCGTTAAGGGGATGCATAGTTAGCCCTGAACAGAGATGTGCTTGTCCGTTTTCTCTCATATTAGTACGTTTTCTCTTGATAGTTCCCGTCAAGGTAGGTGCCTAGATACTTGGAACGGGCTCTTGATCCAAGTAAGTTAAGTAAGTTTATTCAGGTATTCACAAATACAGTAACATAGATTATCATACATAGCAGCATATGTATAGAGAACCTAGGATAACCCAAAATGTCAAAGTAAACTTATTTAGGTACAATTTACAAAAGTTTAGTTGTGCAGGTTTTGGGTGATTGCAATTATTTTACATATATGTACTAATTACGTAGGATAACGTAGAATAACCGTAGGATTGCCTCCCATTTCCCAAGCACTGAATTACTCTTATGAATTTAGCTTTTATTTTACCGATAAAAAATTATTTTTGTGTTATGTACCGAGTGTTGTGACTGCTGCTGCAGGCTGCGTGGATGAGGACCTCGGGAATGTGACCAGCTGTGGCAGTGAGGACACCAACCTCCTCAAGGGTTCTCGTGGAGGATCACTCAAAGGTTCTTCTCATGGAGGTTCGCTCAAGAGCTCTCATGGCAGCACACTCATGGGCTCCCTCCCCTCCATCGTCGTCTCCTCCGGCGAAAGAAAATCGCCAGAAAAAATCTTTGGGATCAAGGTACGTTTTGTAATATATTATGTGCGTATTTATATTCCTAACAGAAGTGTACAAATAAATTATTTATGTAAAATAAGTGGTAGGGGACAATACTCGGATGATTGCAAGGAGAAAGGCTAATTTTTTTCCATGAAAGATTTTTATTTCTCTTACCCTGTCCATGTAACTTTTCAAAAGCAAGGAGGATGGCTGCCTAGATGCTGGCGAATGATTCTTGATCCAATGAACTAGTTTCACTCTTTTCGTATCAAACCTGATTACTTCTCATTTCCCAGGCGCTGTATGACATACAGGTTTAGTGTTTCCTGAATATATAATACATCCCCCCCCTCTCTCTTTTCAAGGGTACGTTGACCCCGGTGATGGGCTCAATCCAGGGAAATGGACCTACCCTCCACTTTCTTGGATCAAATCTTCTTGCCTCCCATTCTCCTGGCTGTGTGACCTATACGTGCCTAGCGCGTGTATAAATATGATACACTCTCACCCCGTTACCCCTTCTTTACAAACTCCCAGATGGACCGTCCTGAGAGACGGTACTGTAATTCTCAAGTAACTAACTCCAGGTCTGCTGGAACGAAACTTGAGAAGTTCCCGTAGCTGTTGAATCCTTAATTACCTCTTTGTCATTAAATATTTCTAGCTACAGGAGCAAACCTAACCAATGTTTGCAATGTTGCGACTACATTACTTAATGTATTCGCTATATAATTTCTTTTAAATTAGAATGTTTAGTGGTTGTAGCACTCAGTTTATTCCATTATTTTACTATTATTTGTGATGATTTCCTAGTATACTTTCGGTTCAGTTTTTGTTCCTGATTTACATTTGTGGCCTCTTGTCTTGTTATCCCTGTTGAAAGTACTAAAACAAAATCGTCTGTTCATCCATATACGTTTACAACCTTGTATATCTTTCCCTTTCATCAGCTACAGTGGGAATCTTTAGTATTTTCAGCCTTTCTTGACTCACTTTTAGTTGTGTGATCCATTTTGTAGCTCATTCGACTATTTATATTTATCCACTTTTTTAAAGTGTGGCCGCCACATAGTTGTATATGCTAATTTTGGCCTAATACGTTGTAAACGGTTTTTTTCAGCTCTCTTCATCCATATATCTGAAAGCTATTTTTATACCAAGTGTAGCATACAAGTTTCACATTATTTATACGATTCCGGTTTACAGTTGTCACAGTGGTCAGATTTCACTTTTTTTTATTTCCACAGTATGGCATTATAAATTCCATCACTCTTTCCTCAATTTATCAAGGTCATTTTGCAATGTTTTTTTATTACACAAATTTTTTGCATCATCTACGAACATATTAAGTTATTTATTCCTTCCGGGTTGTCATATAAATTAACATTGTAGTGGCACCCCCACTCATAACGTAGTACCCCACTCACATTATATTGGCACCCCACTCACAAGATTGTAGTGGCACCCCACTCACAACATTATAGTGGCACCCTACTCATAACATTAGCACCCCACTCACAACATTATAGTGGTACCCCACTCACATTATAGTGGCACCCCACTCACAACATCATATTGGCACCCCACTCACAACATTATAGTGGCACCCTACTCATAACATTAGCACCCCACTCACAACATTATAGTGGTACCCCACTCACATTATAGTCTCACCCCACCCACAACATTATATTGGCACCCCACTCACAGCGTTATAGTGGCACCCCACTCACATTATAGTGACACCCCACTCACAACATTATAGTGGCACCCCACTCACAACATTATAGTGGCACCCCACTCACATTATAGTGGCACCCCACTCACAACATTATAGTGACACCCCACTCACAACATTATAGTGGCACCCCACTCACAATATAGTGACACCCCACTCACAACATTATAGTGGCACCCCACTCACAACATTATAGTGGCACCCCACTCACAGCATTATAGTGGCACCCCACTCACAACATTATTGGCACCTCACTCACAACATTATAGTGGCACCCCACTCACAGCATTATAGTGGCACCCCACTCACAACATTATTGGCACCTCACTCACAACATTATAGTGGCACCCCACTCACAACATTATAGTGGCACCCCACTCACAACATTATAGTGGCACCTCACTCACAACATTATAGTGGCACCTCACTCACAACATTATAGTGGCACCCCACTCACAACATTATTGGCACCCCACTCACAACATTATAGTGGCACCTCACTCACAACATTATTGGCACCCCACTCAACATTATAGTGGCACCCCACTCACATTATAGTGGCACCCCACTCAACATTATAGTGGCACCCCACTCACAACATTATAGTGGCACCTCACTCACAACATTATAGTGGCACCCCACTCACAACATTATTGGCACCCCACTCACAACATTATAGTGGCACCCCACTCACAACATTATTGGCACCCCACTCACAACATTATAGTGGCACCCCACTCACAACATTATTGGCACCCCACTCACAACATTATAGTGGCACCCCACTCAACATTATAGTGGCACCCCACTCACAACATTATAGTGGCACCCCACTCAACATTATAGTGGCACCCCACTCACAACATTATAGTGGCACCCCACTCACAACATTATAGTGGCACCCCACTCACAACATTATAGTGGCACCCCACTCACAACATTATAGTGGCACCCCACTCACAACATTATTGGCACCCCACTCACAACATTATAGTGGCACCCCACTCAACATTATAGTGGCACCCCACTCACAACATTATAGTGGCACCCCACTCACAACATTATAGTGGCACCCCACTCAAAACATTATAGTGGCACCCCACTCACAACATTATAGTGGCACCCCACTCACAACATTTCCCCAAGATAACTTCTTATCACTTTGCATTTTCCTCTCAATCAGAATGTTTCTCGTCCATTATAATAATTTACTTTTATTCCGCCTGTCCTTTGAAGTTTCTAAATTAGTTATCCATGAGGAACGCTGTCAAAGCTATCCTAATGGAATACTTGACAATGCCTTCAATGCCCTGTTGACGTCTCTCAGCACACAGGCTGAAATTTTAACACCATGTATGAAATCCATCCTGTGTGATGGATTATTCAATTCAAATTCAAATTCAAAGTTTATTCTCTATAAAGATTACAATGTTGAATTTACAGAATTTGGTTGTTGTGTGGTTTACATGTAGTTAAATAATGATTACAGAGTGTACCACTAGAACGCCTAGCATGGCTAGGCATTTCAGGCAGAACATAGGCAAGGAACATAGGAACATAGGCAGTTTTTGTTAACCATTGTCTAAGGGTAACGGCTAATTTGGCAAAAAAAATACTGTTTTACCCTCTTCCTGGTTTTGCTTACTCTTTCCCCCTCCTACGTACCCACATCCATAGTAACCACTGCTACAACCGGCATTGTAGTTATTTTAGAGGATACTGTAGTTACCCTATTTATATAATAGTTGCAGTGACGGAACAGCAAGAATACATAGCAAACTTTTGTTTCCATAACATAATGATACAGAATATGATAGTCACACTGATGGTGTATCTAATTTTGTTTAAAAAGAAATACTTGCAGGTGGGAGGATTTGAAGGTCGACTGAAGGGGCGTAACCCACTACATTTCCTGGATCTGAAGCTTCGGGTGTCCCGACGCCACAAGAGTAGTGAATGTCTGACCACAGCCGCCACTCACACCCCAGACATGTCGTAAGTATTCCCCAGACAGGTCGTACCAATCTCAGACGGGTCGTAAGTGCCACCCTCAGGTCGTGAATGATGCCCCTAGACAAGTTGCAGGTGCCCATCTCCAAGACAGTTCCCATCCCCCAGACATATTGTATCACCCCTCCTGGATGAAACTATAAATAAAAGGTTCTTCTTTGGTATAGGTGTTCTTAATAGATTACACAGTTAGGGGCTGGTAATTCCCCTTCAAGCATAAGGGATCTAAAACAGACCCCTGACTGTCTTCAGGAGGAAACCCGACAGATTCCTCAAAACAGTTCCTGATCAGTCGGGTTGTGGTGCTTACGTTGGACTGCGGAGGCAGGTTCTAAAGCATAGGCCATCTGGAGGCCTGGGTGGGGGAGGAGGGGTGGTGTCTGGGGCGGAAGGGGGTCAGTGACCTCAGGAAAGGATTCCAGGCAAATTCCAAGTATGTGTTTAATAATGTAACCCCTTGAACGTTTCTTGATGCTGGTGAGGGGGGCTGTTGATTCAAGGAATTAAACACTTTTCCAAGTCCTTGAATATAGCCTGAATACCTCATATTTCCCCATGGGGCTGCATGACCCCTACAGGTTTAGTGCTTCCCAATGATAATAGCGTAATCTGAATAAAACACTGCTTGCCTCTTTCACTGAAGACCCGCAGCAATCACATAATATTAATTAGTGAAAATAAATCCCCCATTTCCAGCTCTTCCCCCATTAAAAAAGACGCACCTTAGTGGGTCCCCCAAAAGTCACGCCTTAGTGTGGCAAGGTCACCATTGCCAGGTTACTTTCAAAAAATAGTGCGACACTCGAAATGCTCACCGGCATAAACGCTTCGCTCTTCCACTCTACACACTACTGATAATCTTTTTTTTTCAATAACAGTGATATATTTTTTATTTTTTGAGCAAACATTACATACAAAACTCGTTAACCTAACTTAAAGCTAAATTCTGCTATGTGTATCATACTTCAGCTTAAATTTATTTAATATTGTTTCAAATCGTACTTGTTTATTTTGACCAGGCTTTTAAGAGTTAATTTATTGGTTAAATATTGATTCTCTCTTTGCAGTGTTGCGTGTGGGACATCGCCATTTTATCAGTTTTTTGTCTCCTTGCTTGCAGCTCATTTGATATGATTTTCTCCTAATTTTTTTATTTTTATTCGCCGACAGTCTCAGCAGCACGCCAGCCAACGTGTCCAGCAGTGACAACAGCAGCGACGAGGAGCTTTACCATCACAAGCAGCAGCAGCAGCAGCACCAGCATCACGATGGACCTCCAGTGATAAGGTCGGAGATCAGCAAGGAGGCTCTGCAGGAGATTGAGGCCTTTAAAGAGCTGATTCAACGCTACTTCTCCACACATCCTCGCCACGACAGCATCACACCCA